ACGGCCTGGGTGGGGGTGGCCGGGGGGAGGAGAAATATTTCTCAAAAACATTTTTTTCTTAAAACAATTTTTTGACAGGAATGGCCTGGGGGGAGGGGGATGGCGTAAAAAATAAAAAAAATAAAAAATTTGAAATGTTTCCTAAAATTAATTTTTTTTTAAAAAAAATTGACAGGTGTGGCGGGGGAGTGACGTAAAAAACTAAATTTGAAATATTTTTCAAAAGTAATTTTTTTGGGCGGGTAGGGAATAGGGTTGGTTGACGTAAAAAAAATCTTAAAATTTGAAATATTTTTAAAAATAATTTTTTATTTTTTATTTTTTTTGTTAGGAGGTGGTTTGGTGGTAGGGATAAAAATATATTTAAAATCTTTTTAAAAAAATAATTTTTTTTGAATGGAGAGAGTCGGTATGAGTAGGGTAAGAAAAAAAATTAAAAGATACTCCCTCCGTCCCTTTTTAGTTGTCCACTTTAGAAATGGCACACAGATTAAGGCAACAATGATTAGCACAGTGAAGTTACAATTTTACCCTTATGACAACTTTTCACTTCAAAATTACAACCACTTATTTGAATTCAAGTGAAATAAATTGGAGGGAAACAACATACACTTTTACAATTTTCAAGAAGTGTAAATAAGGGTATAATAGGAAAAAATTTGTTGTCCTTTCTTGATTTGTCAAAATGGACAACTAAATAGGGACAACCAAAAAAGGAAATATGGACAAGTAAATAGGGACGGAGGGAGTAATATTTTCCTCAATTTTGGAAGAGAAGTCATTTTCCTTAAATTTGAGGAAAATGAGTTGATTTAAAAAATATTTTCCAAACATTTTAAATCAACCGACCATAGAAAAATTAGAAAACATTTTCCTCCATATCAAACACACCTAAGTCTAAAATAACATTTTAAAATCGATAGAGCACTGGAGGTCTTGAACCGGCAACATGGCTACCACAGCTAAAAAAGATTACATTACACATCTCGTTAGTTTAAGATCACAAAATTAGAACTTTTAACGATCGACAACCAACCTCATGGAACTTAATTTTCTTAAATTCATAGTACCAATAATGTGGAATTTTAAATGTTTTCAACTTTTCAATAAAAGCCTTACCATGTCCAATTTGACATCCATCCTTAATTTGTTCCCCATTGTACAATCTTTCATCACAAAATTAAAAATAGTAGCAAAGGATGAATTTATTTCATAAAATAGATCTTCACAAATTTGTTGTTCATTTTATATATGCTTTTATAAAAAATCTGTATTTCGCGCAATCTGAAAATATCATTTTCTTCTATTTAAGTGGTGACCATTTTCTCTCTCTATATATATAAAAACAACACAGTTTGAACCCTTGTTATGTACACAGGTTCGAACCTGGCCGTGTGTGCGAATAATTGTTTATTTTGTTCAACACTTATAACATGGCAAATAAATATACATCTCAATTCTGGGGAGTTAGTGTTGGGTTATGAAGGGTGAATAGAGCGGCATGCGGAAGCTTACAATTGCAATCAAGACGGTGATAAATAGGGCGGCATGCGGAAGCTTACAATTGCAATCAAAATGGTGATAAATTAGATGACAAATAAAGCTATACTAAAACATAGTATTATTAATATGGTTTGGCCAAACGACCTACATATGATAAAACTAATATAAAAAAATATAAATATGTTTAGGAGAAAATCTCCCCATAAACAAGACTCTTAAACGACTACATTGTGAATTTTATTGTGTTATGCTATGAAAATAGGGATCTTCAATTTATAGATCTTCAAATTTTTCCTCTAAGGAAAGAATAGACCAAATATGGAAGAATATTATATTTTCCTTTCCGGAAAAGTAAACATTTATGATAATGTTTTGTCTTTTCTTTTAGGAAAATATAAACTTCAAATAAGGTAAGAAAATCAGGGTAAAATCCTAACAGTTAGCTTATCAATTCCCCGAAAAGTACCACAAGAATCAGTAACGAACATCGCCTGCAATCGTTCAGGCAAAACGGAGTTGCCACAACCACCAAAACAATGAACTAATTATGGAAATTCAATAGGCCTATACGGTAACAATTTACTAGTTCCCTTGCAACTGCGTGTTCGTGGGAGTCGGAAATGACACGGCGAAAAGTATTGACATACACTCGGGTTCAGTGTATAGCCTCGTATTATAGTCTTTGATCAAGACATTGTATGCATCTATGATTATCAGTAAAACGTTATCTTAGCTTAACCTGTAATTTCGGTATTTGTTTGCGTTGTCGTTTACGTCTTCGGCTGATCGCTTCAACTGGATCCACCCAGTTCTTGTCTTCCTCTACAGCTCGTTCCCACCGATCCTTAAATATTTGTAGCTCATACATCGACTGTCGTCGAATCTGCACCATGTAAATACAATGACCACAAAAAAAACAATCTGCAGTGTCTTCAAAAAGGAACCATAACCAATTCTATTTCTGTCTGAAAATGTGTGGTAACTCAGCAGGATAGAAGCAACGTCTTACCTCAGATCGCACGTCAACAACGTGTCTCTGTAGGCCAAGAGAAAAGAAATCAAATGAAAGTAGTAATCAGCAAAAGTTTAGCGTCGAAAATTTCTCAAACTGCTTAAGCAAAGGAGCAGTAGGATGTTACATACCTTTGTAGACTCTTCAAGATCTGAACGCTGCACAAACATGACCAAATTTTAGTGGAGCAATTGAAACTAGCATACAACGTCGTAATATCGGTAAGAGTTTTAAAGTTATACACACTGCAATGTAAAGATTCTTGTGCGATAAGTGTAATTACTGTTTTATTTAACTACCGATGAAATGCTTATCATAGATATCTTTTAACAGTAATTTGATTATGTCAATATAGAACATAGAACTTGAACAGATAGAGTAAATATAGTAAATACGACTTAAACTCTATCAATAATAGATAAACAAACATTCAAACTTGGGCTCAGTTGGCAATTAAGCACTCTAACTTTGAGAGTGCACATGTAGGCACCCAGGGGCGAATTTATGTACAAATTTTGGGTCACCCGAACCCGTGGTCATCCGACTAAACTCGATATATTACTTCTATAATTATTAAAGAATATATTAAATTAAAACTTGTTGAACCCGTTCTCAAGATGGCTGGATGGTTCACTGGTATGACTGCAAGATTTCAACACAAAGGTCACAGGTTCGATCCCAGGCAGCCCCAATTTGCTTCAATTTGTTTTTATTAACTCAAAAACACGTTTTTCATTAAAAAAAAAGAAAAAAAGAAGGTAAATTCTGAAAGTTCTAAAAGTCAAAGACTTCAAAACATTCCTTCCCACCCACTTTTCAAGTTCCAAGTTTCAACAATATCTTTCTTCTTTCTTCAAATTTGTTTTCCAACAATATATTTCTTCTCTCTTCAAATTTGTTTTCTATTTTCCACACAAAGAAGAAGCTTCAAGTCTCCAACTTCAAGTCAAGAATTTAGAGAAATCATCATTGTCAAAGTTTAAGGTAATTTTAGTTTATGATTTCTCTTTTTAATAAACAAACTAACAAGATAAATAAATAAACAAATATATATATATATATATATATATCACTTTAATTTTAGGGTTTTCATATAAAAAATGTCATTACTTAATACTCTAGGTATATCAAATTTCTTCTAATAACTTTTTCTTTTAATATAATTTTTTTTTTTTTTACAAATCGTATTTAATATTTTTCTTATGAAAAAGCTATATTTGTTATTGCTAAAATAATTGAGGTCCTTCAAATTTGGAAGCCTAAAGTAGTTGTCTTTTTCTTAAAGGGGCAAAGCCGTCCATGACAATGGTGCACCCGTCTTCTTGAAATCCTAGATTCGCCTCTGTAGGCACCTGAATTGACAACTAAACACTCTAACTCGTCCTTATTGTGTCTCGTGGCATCAGATGCTGACATGGCACATCAATTTTGGTGGTAGCTCGATGACACTGATACAATGGAGGCGAGTTGAAGTGTCTAGATGTGCATACTCAAAGTTAGGAGTGTTTAGTTGCTAGTTGAGGTCACGTTAAAGTGTCTTATGTATGTATTATGTCTATATATCATCCTACACTGAAGTTTGAATAGGAACCTGAATGCAATTATATACGACATGATAACAAACACAGAGAACAACAAAATAATGTCTTACGACTCCAATTAAAACGGATATAGTAACGGAAGGTTACCTTCTTCAGAGATGGCCCTCCTAATGTTTGAATGCTCTGGTGGACAATATATTCACTATCAACTACTCCGACTTTTTTGGTTCGGTCCCCCTACAATAATTTCAAATTCCACATAAGTTAGAATCATGTATGCATCCACTACTTCCAAATAATGCTTGACAACACACTAAACAGAATTCTTCAATCCCGTTAAATAGCTTGCCGCCAACACACAAAAAGCTGCCCTCTTCATCAATAAAAGCTAAGCCGTTGACGAAAATTCATAAGGTTTTGACTTAGATGTGAATGACAGTTTAGTATGAAGAGATGAAATTGCAAATGTTAAAACGAGTGAAATTAAACTGAACTAAAACCAAGCAGCCACAAAGAAGTGATCTAACCTGTGCACAATAACCAAGTTTCATGTCCATTCCCCATCCATGAACAAGATCATTCTGATAGGAAGAATCAGTAACCAGAATTTCATTACACTAGGCTTGAATCAGTACATGCGTGGAAAACGAAAGCAGGTAAAAAAATGAACAAGCAGAGAATTCTTCAGCATGAGACGAAGTGTAGGTGAAACGTAATTGCGCAAAGGTTGGAGGATGCGTATCCAATAAAAATACATTTAACAGTGTAATAGAACTGAAAGTGGACAGTAACTAGTCATGAAGATTAGCAAGTGCACAATATCACGATGATATAGTTAACAGTTGCATTTTAGTAGCTAACGCAAGTAAAAGATAGTTGAGTCATCTCCCGGAGAACAATCCTCCGAATATTAGGTTAGCTTAAACAGAGATTGCTTTTTATCTAGACACGAACTGTAGTCAGCTCCGACAGAACCAGAAGTTTACCTGTATAAGATGCCAAGCACACACCCAAGCGGCTATTGAAAAGACTGGAGCCATCCCTTCCACAAATCTGCAGATAAAGAGTAAGGATGATACACATTCTCATAGATATTGAAACACTCAAAAAGATTTCATCAAATTCAACACTCTATTAAGCAAGATTTTATCCAAATTGTTAAAAAGAAAAGCATTTATAGAGCATAACTATAGGTAATGTAGAAATGAAAGCGTACGACACTGGAAAACAAGATATCCATTATATTAATTAATGTCAAGGAGAATGCAAATGCTTAACCAGATCGACAATGCACACGGCTCATAACAATTGTATTAACTGTATAAAGCTTACCCACTGCATGGAGGACCTTCGCTTTCACCTGAGCATTTTGTACTACCTCTGCTATCATACACTCGTCTGTTTAAATAAGAAGTGCATTAATATTCTCCCAAATATTCCAAAACATTAAATTTGAGGAGTCGGAGTATCACAGGTCACCTGTGGAACCTTTTTCTCTTTCTTCTTATTGTGATTCTATGATGTATTTCAGTTGAGTTCCGGTCCAAAGCTGGCTGGGAAATCTCAAGTCCTTCTGATTTCACGATTTCAAGGTACCTGAAAAAACAAAAGTGAAGGTCCAATAGGAAAAAAGAAATTACAATCTGGCAAAAGTTGATTGAATTTGAAAAACAAAAGCACACCAGGATTAAATTAGAAACTTATATCAAATATGTTTATCTGAAGATTATATATATCTAAATTAGGACATATTTTATGCAAGTGTTTTACCTTCCAGGATGGAAATTCTTCACGCCCAAATCTTCATCCCAAAGGAAAATGTAATCGTATATGGAAACAGCAGCAGGATGTAAGAACCGCTTTGCAAACCACCTGTGTAAAAAGGAAATCACAACAGTACCAATGAGTTCTTCTACTTCACAAGTATACAAGGTGATTGTAAATTTTCACGTGAAGAAAGTTCAGCATAAAAGGAGGGGTCTTAGACAGCCCTTCCAATCGTTGAGAGAACTCAAGAATTGTATTTCAATTAATTTTTCGATGTCAAAAGCATTAGAAGTTATTAACAGACTCAGTTGCAGCAATTAGAACTACTCTGCACTGTTTCTATTGAGAGCAGAACAATCACTCGTCCGCAAATTAAGATACTAAAGGCCCCCACCCCCTCCAGTCAGTGTGAAAATCAGCCTGCTTAATTTATGCCCCTCCAAAACCTCACGGGATTAGGAACACAGAAGTCGCCGATTTCAAACTACACAAATTTCAAACCATTCACGATATTCGTACCATTTAGTTTGGTTGTTTGCAGCAATATGAACGGCTTCTTTACTCCATTGGAGGTCCCACCAGCCATCAACATGTCCATCATAGTGAAACAAGATGATTGTAAAATTCTCTGAAAGAAACTGAATTAAAGTAAATCAGGCATCAGACATGACTGAAAATCAGAAAAAGATTAGTCAATTACAAGTTTCCCGAAACAAAGACGAGTAAGATGTTATACCTTTTGGACAAGAGTATCAACATTTTTCTTTTGTTTAATACCAACTGCCATTGCCAACAGGTTACGAGAACTAGAAACACTACCCTGAAAGGGGCAACACGGAGGGCGAAAAACTTGAGCAGAAGAGAAAAACTAGTAACAATGATTATAAGAGATACTAAAGGAGGATGCTATATTTATTCAACACTTAATGAGTAGAGAAACACCTTGGACTTTGAATTACTTGTAGACCATAGAGGCTTTAACTCTAGATCCGAACTTGCTTGGATAATACCACGAGGCAAACTGTTCAAACGTGTAATATCTACATCAGAATCCTGGATGGAAGAACAGAATGCATTAGAGTGATAATTGATACGAACTGTTTTCGGCTGAATACTTCAGCTCATCAAGAACTGGAAGCTAATAAGAGTTGGACAATTACAAATTTATATATAGAGAAGAACAAAAATGCAACTACCTTTGAAGAATAAAATGGATCCGATTTCGACTCCATCTGAAAAGGTACACAGGAAAGTATGGCTGATTGTATAGTTCTCAGGCACAATATAAGGTATCTCTACTTTCTCACATTCAATCATATAAATAAACGGAAAATTATGTAACGAGCAAATGGTAGCACCATCATACCTCTGTCTGTTGATACTGATAGTTAGTGGTCCTATACACAATTAAAAACATAATTGTACATATAATCCCCATAAAAGCAATCTGTTTCACCTTTATTCCACATGTTACCTGCAATTCCGCTCTCAATAGTTCAATATACACTAAACTTGGATGTTCCAAAAGAGGGAATAGATTATTTGTGATTTTTAACCCCACTATGCATTCACATACCCTGTCAACAAAGACTCTCTTTTTCTTCGTTGATGCCACCGCCATGATAGATGCCCTCATAGGCGACTATGCTATGATATAACAAAGGTTGCTCATTACAAGCTGCAATAATTACAATTTGATGAACACAATAGTGAGGAACAGTAAAAAGTGTTTACGAGAAATAGCCTATTTATGTAAAAAGGGGATTCAATATCTACAACATGCTCCTTGTTTGACCATACAGCAATAATTCAGATTGTGTGTCCAAACAGACTTCGGAACTTGGTCTAGTTAATTGTCTATAGGTGCAGCGCAAAGCAGTACCTCGTGGCACACCATGTGTTCTATTCTATAATCTATGTGGGGAGAAAGAGACTAAAAGGCTTTATATTCAGTGCTCTACAAAACATGAAGTGAGTTACTCACGCGCACACCAAGTCAGGTGGACCGACCATCATACGACAAGTCACATTTTGTATTGTTGTGGCACTACTTGCTCGTCATTTCTGCTCCTACAGAATAGCTGGTAATACCTCCGAAGGGAGGAGAGACCGTCCACACAATAGTTTTAGAGTAGGAGGAGCTCAGAGTTGGAATTCAATAGTCTAAGAAATGGTTATATCTGTGCTGACAGCTACCGGTATCATCACGATAGCAAAGAGGTGCAGCTACCAACTTCTACTAAGGCTGGCCATAATGTAATATGAATAAGAAACTTGGAAACAACAAGTAGAATGTATTCCCAAGTGTGGAAATGCAATGTCAGGCACAACTATGAGAATCGAAACTTAAATATCGTTTGGAAGACCTATTCAAGAAGCTTCCACGGCCCGAGCGGATCCAACACTTTTTGACACTGAAATAATTGTAGTTCTAAATGAATAATGTCCTCTGGAAGACCTATTCAAGAAGCTTATTAGGCTTGAGCCGATCCAAGATTTAAACTTTACGGATTTTAACACTGGTAACACTGAAATAATTGTAACTATGGGTGCAGATCTAGTATCTATTAGAATTTTTGTGAGTTTTCACATAAATATCTATATTCCCTAGGATGTACACAAACTCAGCGGAGACAAAAAAAACACTAGGTGATTTTTCCCATTTGTCCTAGCCTTGGTGGACAGAGTTATCTTGCTACCAATTGGAGGTGCAGGTATCCCGTGAAATTTAATCAAGGTGCGCAAAAGTTGATCCAGACACCACGATCATAAAAAGGCTCGAGAAAAATGGAACTACATATAAAGAAGACATCATAAAAAGTTAAAAATAAAAAAGGAGGAGGAATACAATTCCAGAATTAAGGTTCTTGCATCAACATTGAATAACCTTTAATTTTATTAGTTGTTAATTTTGCATGCAGGCATTAAACAGTATATATTTATTTATTTATTTATTCAATTCCACTGAGAAATATAAGCAGACAAGAACAAAAACTTCGAAATTTTCAATCCATTGAGTGATTATTCAATATCCCTAAATTCCAAAAATCATCAAGAACCCAGAAAAAAAAATTAGTAAATAAAAAATATCCTCACCGAATTATCAGTATTTTCTGCAAAAATAGATTTCACAGAAATAACAAAGTTAGAACTCAACCTTTTGCTATGCAAATTTTAAAAAAAATCACATTTGATGCCCATATCTAAAAAGAAACGTATTAAATCCATTTGAAGTGTTAAAATTAATTAATTAAATGAACTAATGTTTTAACAGAAACTTTATAAATTCAAAATTCTGGAACAATTAAATGAAGACAGAACGTTACTCGTGACTTTCAATTAAATAGTACACAATAATAAATATTTCAGCTCATGCAACCAATTAATCTGAATTTTTTTTTAAAAAAAATGAAAGAATAGAAGATAAGAAACTGGGAAAATACCTCATAATTCAGATGAAACTCCCCATAAAGAATAAATTTTTTTTAAAAAAGGATATAGTATATCACCGATTAATATGGGGAAAATGTGTATATATAGAGTTTGAATTGTATACAATCACTGTATATTATGTATACAGAGCTATAGAGATAGGGTCTTTGAGTTTGAGAGAGATAAAACTGTTGAAAGTGCCACGTTTAAGTCGAGTTTATACACATGTTACCACTAGGAAAACACACCGCCATGAAACTTGCTTTTTCTTTTTTATATTTTTTTTAAAAAAAACTTTATAAGGAAAATCAATTTTGTCTTCTTTTATATTACTCGCTCTGTCCTAATTTATGTGACACTTTTTGTTATTTATGTGATAGTTTAAATTTGACTGGAAATTTACGTATAGAATCTTTAATTTTTTTGAAATGAAATTTATATATTTGTAAACTATGTAAAAAGTACTATAAGTCATAATAATTGATAATTTAAAATATTTAAAAGATTTATGAAAAAATTACTATCAAAGATCGATAGATTTGAATCTCGAATTCAAAAAATGTCACGTAAATTAGAACGGTGGAAGTGTTTGGTTTTTATTGTTGTGACCACCCTTATAAGTTTTAGCAAATAAAGTTTTATATTAATATAATAATATTTAATAATTTATAAAGGAAATGACATGATGTCATTTTAAGTCACTAGAGAGGAAAATGTTAAATTTTGACAGATAAGACAACATGTTTAATATATGTGTAATTCTAATTCATATGATAATTAGTCTTATTTTTTCAATTATGAATGGTTGTTAGTAGGTCAGTCTCAACAATTTTAATTACAATTATGATTTGTTTTGTTCATGCAGAATTAATTAATAATAAACATAACATCTTCACTGTTTTGTTAGGTTATCTATAAATTATTTTTTTTTTCACAATTTAAATTTATACATTTTGATTTAAATTTTGTTACGAATTCGTCTTCACTTGTTATATGATTGTAATTTATATGAGTGAGATGGTCTTGCAATCGAAGGCGGAATGAGTTTAAAGGAGTTGTGGTATTTTCAAGTTTTATTTTAAACTTGAATTTAAATGACATATCTGTTCATAAAATAAGATAACGCTAAAATAACTATTGTCTTTAACTCTATAAATTAGATCTCTCTCATGAATGAGAAAAGGAAAAATCTAGATATAAACACAGGTTTACGTTTGATTTGGTTAGTTCAAGAAAAAAAATCCCCTTTTCTTCCCTCCAATCTACCTAAAGCAAAATTAACTATAGTACACAACAAATGTCTTTGGACCAATCAAGTAGGGGTAAGGGTTTGAAAAATATCCCAATTTTGATCGAAATTGTTGTTACGATATCAAGCTTTATAGAGGACCTATTACCCCCTGAACTATTTAATAGTGTATTTTTTTCCCCCTGAACTATTTAATAATGTATTTTAAAGGTATATATGTGCCCACGTGGACACATTACTATTTATAATTTTGCATTACTTTTTATATCTACGTGGGTAAATATATATGTTTAAAATACGATATTAAATAATCTGAGGATAATAGGTCTTTATTAAAGTTTGGTATCATAACAATAATTTTGACCAAAATTATGTATTTTTCAGACCTTTATCCCAATCAAGTATGTTGAATTGACAACTAATTTCCAAATTATTAAAGCAAGTATAATCCTATCACAAAAAGTAGTAGTAATTAAAGTAAAAGCTACTATTGGCAGTAGGTGGGGGTTTTTTTTTTCTTTCCTTTTTTCAAGATGTAGGTGGAGCTTCATCAAATATAGAAATTAGAAAATGTGTACTGAGCATGTAACTTAATTAATCATTCTCTCTAATTTTGTTTGTAATTATAATAATTACAAGAAGCTATACCAACAAAATTATGTCATCTTTTACAACCCATTTTAAAAATTATTTTTACTACATTTTCGTCCATTTTTACTTATTTAATATTGACTTAACACATTTCTTAAGAATCAATAAATAGAATGACAATTATTATACTATTCTTTGAATATAATACACTCAATATATTGGGAAATGGCTTTAGTTACAGATTACATGATACTAATTGACGAGACTCGCAACGAAGTCAATGCTAGATTAAAGGTTTGGAGATAAATTCTAGAGTCTAAAGAGTTCAGGTTAAGTCAGATCAAGATTAATTATTTGAAGTGTAAGTTTTAGTGATTCCACACATGAGGTCGAGTGCCACCTATATTTTTTGTACTTCAAAAATCATATTATTTTGTTGTCATACTATTTATTCCTATGTATATTGTATAGTATTCTTCATTTCACATTATTTTGTTATTGTTAATACTCTTATTTGTATTCTCTTTTTCAAACTACTTGAATATGCTCTATTTTAAGCTAAGGATCTATCAGAAATAATAATAATAATTGTTTACATTTTAATCTTTTTTAAATAACAACTATTTTAAATCCGCTATTTTTAACGAACACTCCTATTAAATGATCTAGATTCCACATGAAGTAATCTTTTTTTCCTTTAAACTTGTTTTTATGGGAAGATCACATCCAACATAAATCATGTGAGTTGATGAAAAAACCCGAGTAGTGTGTCTTGCCTTTGTTACAATAAAAAGGATAAAGGATCAAGACTTGTGACTTTTGATAAGTTTTTTTTTTTTGTGTGGTTTTGAATTTTTTGGACGTGCATAAGATAAAATTTATTAGTATAATCATTCAAGTTACGTTAAAGAAAAAGTAAATTATACTACTAAACAAATCTCGTGTAATAAGTTCTATTGAAAAAATATGCGGGAGTTTCAACTTGAGACTAGGGAATTTATTAGTACTTTTTATCATGCTTATGATCGTACTTCGATTATTTTTTTATCTTGTTATAATTACTGTTGTTTAGGATTGAATTTGTCAAGTTATCTAAAGTATTTTGGCATGATTCTTCATTTTCATTTTTTTTTTCTATATTGCTTTGGACTGTTTTTTTCTTGAATTGGGGATCAAAATCTGTCTCTTTATCTATGAACACCTACTGATTAGAAGAGCAACAACAATAATTACATCTTGATCACAAACAAATTGGGATTTGAATTTTGGAGGAACAATTTGACAAATTTACTTCTATTTATACAATTTTTAAAAATCTTTTACCAAATTAATCACTCTCCTCAATAAACGTTCACTCCGTATTTATGTGTTTTTTCCATCAAATTTAGATTTTTTTTAATTGAAAAATATTAAATAACTTTATTTTTTTTTTTATTTTTTTGGGTTTTATTATTTTTAATAATAATAATGATAACTAAAAAGGACAAGAAGGAATATTATTTTCCTCCTTTTAACTCCATATTGCAAAAGTCAAATCTAGTACTATTATAATTAAGAATTTTCGTGGATATTATTGGTTGTCATAGTCACATACACATTGCGCTTTAATATTCTTTTTTCTTAATTTAAAGAATAATTCCACGATCCTAGTTGGCTAGTCATCCTCAATACAATTGACATAGCCATATGTACTTTTTTCTTTATTTTTCACAGAAACACACCTAAATTATCGCAAAAATCATCAATTACACATGTAAATTATGTGGAGGTCTTGTAACCCTGCTGAAATTACACAGCTAAATTATGGCAACAATTTTAGCAAGTCCACAAAAATACACCAGAAAAATGGATGTTTTGTCGTCCAAAGAATCAACTATTTTCCCAACACCAAGTTTGTGAATAAGTGATTGTTTGATAATGAGCAAGGAATACCCATTGTTCCTGTTAGAGTGGTTAAAAGTCTCACATTGGTTGGGAAATGGACTGGTGGTCTCCTTATATGGACTTGGGCAATCCTCTCCTCATGA